GGTCGACAGGGTATTTCAGCGCGGGGATTAGAGCGGGAAAAAGAAGACTACGAAGAATAGCGTGAAACGGAACCAAGATTCATACGATCAAGAAGGAGAGAAAAGGCGTGCAAGGTTGAAGGAGAGATGGAAAACGGTTACACAGAGAGAAGGAGCGTGAGCACGAAGAAGAGAGTGTCGAAGGCAGCGTGGGAAGCGGGGAGGGGAGGCTTGCATGCATGGCGCTGATGCGGAGGCAAAAGAGCACCAAAACAATTACAGCTAATTCAAATTGAAAAGTACCATATCCGCGCAGTAGAGCGAGCGCGCGAGAAAATCCTATACCTATTCAGATTCCTACGAAAATTCCCAGAGCTTTCCAAGACGAAGTTGAGAACATTCATGTGCAAGAAAAGACACGTCAGATTCCGCTCATTCCGAAATTCCTAACCGTCGACCCAAATTCCTAGCTCGCTCGCTAAGGCACGCGTAATTCCCATGTAATTCCCGAATTTGCAAAAGACAAATTTCCAAAAACTGATCCAAGGGTCCCGCATATTACATTCATGAAAATACAAAAAGAGGCCTCGTCGGGTTGTCACCCAAAATTCGACAAAGACCGGGGGGGGGAGGGGGAGATGGCGCGGGTCCGGAAGCTGGCGTGTCACATATGTGATACTCAAGGGGTTCCAAAACTATGCCATCTCCTGATTGCATGGGGGAGAGCTATTTCACATGGCGAAGGAGATCGGAGATGAATGAGGAACCCAGCGTATCAGGATGATGTACAAGCACTAGATCGAGCTAGGAGTCATGTTGACGCCAACTTCAATTGCATAATCTTCACAACTTTGTCAGCTCCGGGCTTCCGAGATCTCTGCCACCTGGCCCTGTTGTGCGCCATGCCCTGCCTCCTTTAGGTCGACAAAGGTCATCTTGATGGCACCATCACAGCTCGACGATCTTGGCTGACCCTGCTTGGTTGCTGAACGCCCGATCGGCGGTAGCTAAGGAGGAGAGGGTTGTGGAGGGGTCTAGGCCATTCAGCAGGGAGCGGAGAGAAGTAATCGGATGCTTCGTCCCCGAGATCGACAAAGTGGACGATTTAGTGCGCTCGCGGGAATTGATGGTTGGGTCGGGAGAGGGAAAGGAGGTAGTCGGGATAAAGGGTAGGGATAGTGCGGAGGATATTATCGCATAGGGACTCATAGTCCTCTACTGCGGGAAAGGTTCCGGAGATGATTCAGTACAACTCCATATGGTTATACTGTCTCCAGGCGACACTGAAGAGAAGGATGTTGAGGGGGAATGACGTGGAGCGATGAGGGAAGATCGTGCATAAGAGTCGCACAGCAAAGTGGTGACAGAAGAGCTGGTTGGCGAAAATGCAGTAGTTTAAAGGGAACTCGATGTGGGGAAGAGGAGAAAAGGAGAGGTAATCAAGAGGGCGGTGGTAAATCGGACGAGGACGGAGCGCCCGTGCGGGGAGGAGGACGGGGACGAAGCACGGAGGGGGTGGCGGAGGTAGGAGATGGTGAGCCAGAACGACGGCGGCGGCGGGAGGGCGGCGGGAGGATTTTGCGCCATCGTGTCGACTGGCAGCGTCGGCAGGGACTTCGGGATTCAGAGCAGATCCTCCTCGCGCAGTGGATGGTACTTGGGCTGGCGGGGCCTCCTCTTCTTCCTTCGACGTCGACCTGGGTTCCGACTCTTCTTCAGGTGACAGACGCGCGATGGCTATGCGACCTGGGTCGTCGTCTGACGGCACCTCGCCGTGTGCCCGGTGGGCGTTCCAAAACTCGTCCAGATCGGAGTTGTCCAGCGCAAGATCATCCAAGTCCAAATAGCGCCAAACTGCGGGGTCGTGATCGCTCAGGTATTGGCCGAAGTCTTCCGTAGAGTTTGCCCAAATTATGGTTGGTGTCAACGTCCTCTCCGAAGTGACGGGTTCGACTTGGCTGGGGTCACTGGGATTGAAGGAGATGATACTCGCTGGCAGGTCGTCGACGAGCTGGAACAGAAAGGTGAGGAGCTCGTAGGCGATAGTCGCTCTACCTCCTTCAGCGATCTCTCTGCAAAGAAGTCCAAACAAAGTGCCACACGTCTTCGTCTCCGTCAGCCATGCTTGAGCTAGTACTAGCGAGATCTCGTTGTAGATCTCTAACTCCCGATTGCTGTAGTACCGAGCCCAGTGACACTTCACTGTTAGCATGCATACGCTGACTGGCGCAAATTCAGTCCACTTGTGAAGGTAAAGAGGATGGAAAGGAGGGATCGTGGCGTGGCGAATCTCCAAAGTGAGAAGGGAACCGAGCCCAGTGACACTTCACAGAGAGTTGGAAGATCTCAAGGGAGGGAGAAGGTCGGCGCAATGGACAAGGACAAAGAAGGGGAAGGGGACGAGCAGGGGGCTCAGTGCTACTAGTCCGAAGAGAGAAGGTATCAATACACTCGGTTCCAACTATTTGCCGACTTGGTCGGGCTAGTCACCGCCGCCAATCCCCTACCCACTCTTGTCCCCACTCGTAGAGGTTGGCGATCACCGCGTTGCGCTGCTGCAAGTGGATGGTGCATAGATCGCCACTGAAGGCGCATTACGTCGCTGTGGTTAGGTCGGGAGAATCGATCGAACGCCGAAGCTTCCACCAGGATGACTACTGCTCCCTGCTCCGTTGAAATTGTTACTTCTACCGCCGCACACCAAGCCCCGTGACTAAACAGCTGCGCGAACCGGAGGAGATCGGGACTGAGACGAGGATGCGCGACTTGGCGAAACTGCAAAGAAGGTCGAGGCTGAAGAAGTTGTGGGGGAAGAGCCGGCTCAATGACGAAACTCATGGCGAAGACCGAGGAGAAGTGTTACCAGACGAAGAAGGGGAAACTAGATCCTCGTCTGTGCTAGACAAAGAAGGCGAAGGCGAGATAGGGTCCCATGAAGGTGGGAGGGGGCAAAGTTAGGAGGTATGGCGGACGATGGGAAGAGAGCTATGGTTGGCGCTGGTCTCAAGGGCGATGCGCACAGTATGGGCTCCGTTAGGGCCGAATTCCACTACTCGAAAGCAGCCAGAAAACTTGGGAGCGAGTTTCCAGTCGCGTGCACATTTACATACCTGCACTAGGTCCCCTAATTTATACTGGTGTTGTGGGCCTGCATTCCCATTTCGGGCCTCGTAACCACGGACCTGCCTACCGTGGGCCAGTTCGGTCATTTTTTGCCTTTTTCGGGCTAGCCTGGGGATAACCTTTTCCATTAGCTCCTCGTACCGTTTAGCCTTGGCCTTGAGGGCCGACCACGTGTCCCTTCCCCCGTTCTCGACACTTTCCGAGGCACTCCGATTATCAACGCATGGGATACTATTCATTCCTAGCTGAAAGGGGGCGAATCCAGTGGATTCATGGGGGGTCGCCCGATGAATCCCGATGATTTGATACACTATCTCGGGCCAAAGACACGTGTCATTGGCTGCTAAGTTCCTGCGGAGAGCGGTCTTAATCATGAGGTTCGCGTTTTCGGTCAGCCCGTTGGACTGGGAGACATGGGGAGCAGTGTGTCGGAGAGTAACGCCACGACGCATTAATAATTCCTCTACTTCTGCTTTGAATCCAGACCCATTGTCGGTCAGAATCTCTTTTGTATCTAGATGGGTATTAAGGAATTGGTCGATGTATGTAGCTATCTCTGAGGCCTTACGTGTCTTATAGGGGTAAACTTCGATGTACTTCGAGAAATGGTCGATCAATACCAAGAGAATGGAGTACTCACAACGGTTGGGGCCAGGTGGCACGTCAATACCTGTCATTTCCATACTAACTCGCTGGAAAGGACGTTCTACCTCCGTCAGGGTTATCGTGTTAGGCCCACGAAGGGGCGCACGATCGGTAGCGCAGACTGAACAGTTAGTGACCACGTGTCTCACGTCATCGCGAATATTAGACCAAAACCATCGATTCTGATCAATGGTCGCTTCAGCGACACGCGAAATGAGCGGCCTGCTCCTCGTGCGCAGATTTGGTCCAGTCATATCGCTGAAACGGGTGTGGAACCGTCAACCATAATCCTGATCCGTCTGTTTTGCGTTTTTCCAAATGACCGATGATCCATCGATAATCTCGAGATCTCTCGGTGGCCCGGCGCCTATCATGCTTAGTGAGATGGTCCAATGGTTGACCCGCTAATTTAGCCAGTAATATTTTATCCGTTCATACTTCAGCCCTTCGGTTTTTTCGTCGTATTCGGGGCCGTCAGTTTTGGCGGCCTCGAATCAAACTTCCGTGAGGAGCTTGTCCGTCCGACACAGGGGGCACTTCCATGCCTTACTACTCGTTCGATAGCGAACGCATGCGCCATTAACACGATTAACACACGTGGCACACCCTACCCAGTCAGTGAACCCCGATTCAAAGGGATAGCAGTCTACCCCATAAAGTCGTGAAATACACGTGCAAAAATAGCAAAACGTCCGGAAGATTGGCGAAAAATTCCAAATGCGGAAAAGGAGGGGAGTCAGTGGTGTTGGGAGCCGAAGGAGGGGTCGCCATTGTTCCAGGGAATGGAGAGAGAGAGAGAGAGAGGGCTCGTGTCCACCTAATCCTTCAGAAGGATCTCCACCTCACCGTACTAGGGCTCGTTCTTTGGTTCCGGATCGTGCCACAGTGTCACTTCCTCACTCTTGGGTACCTTGCCGGGTCGATGCAACCGTGTCAGCCCATCCACATTGTCATGTTTCTCGTGTTTCCGATGACGAATGTCAAAATCCATGCTCTGCAATGTGGTAGCCCATCGCCCGATCATACCCGAGTAGTCCTTGGACTTCTTCAGGGCCAACAGTGGTTCATAATCAGTCACGAATGTGAAATTTCGGCCATATAAGTAAGCCCGGAAGTGACTGATTCCCCACAAGGCCGCGTAGCATTCCCCCGCTGAAGCGGAGTAATTCCTCTTGCAGGAAGGTACCGATTTAGACGCATCTTCCACCACGTGTTCCAGGCCATCAGGTCCTACTTGGGCCAAGATCGTTGAGATCGCCTCGGGCTGCCAATCGACGATGAGAACAAAAGGCTTTTCCGGGTCCGGTCTTATAACGACCGGGGCCGAGATCAGAGTCCCCTTAAGTTCTCGAAAGGCCTGATCGCAATGCAGGGTCCAAATCAACGGCTGATTTTTTTTCAACAAGTTTGTGAGTGGTCCCACGATCGCTGCAAATCCCTTGATAAACTTCCGATAGTACGAGGCTAGTCCCAAAAAGGCGCATACTTGTGTAAGTGACGTCGGCACCGGCGCGTCTTTCACCGCGGCTACCTGCTGCGGTTCCGGTTGCAACCACTTGTCCGTAACCACGTGGCCTTGAAAGGAAATCTTTGCGAGGAAAAACTGGCATTTCTCGAGGGACACCTTGAATCCACCGTCCTTCAGTGCGTGCAGCGTCCATTCAATGTGTTGCACATGTCCTTCGTAGGAACTCGAATACACAAGGATATCATCCATGTATACGATCACACAATAATTAATAACGCTCTGCGCCAGCCTCGTTTTTCGCACGAAGTTCTGAAAAGTCATATTCATCGCGCGCTAAAACGTGGCTGGGGCGTTGCAGATTCCCATCGGGCATCAAATCCATTGCCAAGTCCCTTCGAAAAGAACGAACGCCGTCTTCGGGCGATCTTCCTTTCGAACTAGGAGATGGTGGAATCCATGACGAACATCAAACTTGCTGAAAAATCGAGCACCACCAATAGCATCCAACAACTCGTCAATCCGGGGGAGGGGGTACAAGTCCTTAATCGTGATATCATTCAACTTCCGGTAATCAATACATATACAAATCCCTCCCGCCTTCTTCGGTACAATCACCACAGGAAACGACCATGGTCCGATGGCGGGTTCGATCCACCCATTAGCTTCAAACTCCTTTACTCTCTGGAACGCAGCTCGTCGTTGCGCCGGAGAGTATCGATAGGGGGCGCAGCTAATTGGTGGATGATCCCCTGTGAGGATCGCGTGTTCGATCACACTTGGCAACCCAATATCACAATCATGCACACTCAATACCTCAACATATCCATGCAACACATCAATCAAAGACTGGCGAATTTCTCGGGGAACGTAACCAGGTAAGGTGATCGTTGATCGTTCGAAAAGGTTCAGCCGTACGTCGATCTGACCTGGTTTTATCAGTTGCCTCCCCTCTACGCTGGAGAACATGAAGCTGCTGGTGCGGGCCGAAAAAACAGTAGCAAGCATTTGTGATTCGGTCGGGCTAATCATTTCGGTTTCCTTAATTTCGGAATCGGTCTCGAGGTCATTGGTGCTTGCGGCTATTCCCAACCCCGTTAGCTCAGTCATTTCCTGCATCAGATTGGGAACATCACTAATCAGAGCTTCGGCCTCCTGCCTAATTAGCGAGATCACAACACTTTGCGTGAGCAATGGCCTGGGCGGGGAGACGAAAAAATCCAAGTGCTGATCCATTTGTTGATACCTTTCTCGTAATGAAAGCACGCCTTCGTACAAGGTTCGAGGGGGTTCCAAGAGGTCAGCCATATCCGAAATTTGCAAGATAGGTTCTCCCAGGAAAGATGATACTGAAATCTGAGTTTCTCTTGGTGCACGCAGGGATAAAGGCAAAGCAGGGCCCGTCTGGCTATCCTCTGTATTCAGATCAAATGTCCTAGTAGTAGTCGGATTTATCTGGAACTCTTCTTTAGCCTTGTGACTGAACAGCTCGACTAACCGGCTCCATTCCTTTTCAGTAGGCATGTAAGATAACAGTTCGTCGTAATCTCGCTCGTCATACCCGTCATCATCGGACAGGTGTCGGTCCTCGTCACCGCTTTCGGACGACTCCTCTGGACTCGGGACTTGGATCATTCCTATTCGCGTGAGATTGAGAGTCTTTCTTGGTGGTCGAGTGGAGACTCGTAGTGGAACCGTCTGAGGCTTTCCTCCAGTATGTGTAAGGACGAGCTGCTTGGAGTCGAAATGTATTCGTGCACCCACAGCCATCACCCAAGGTAATCCCAACAGTACCGAGTATGACTATACATCGATTACTAATGCGTTAACCAGGACATGTACTCGTCCTACCTTGACGACTACGTTTTCAATAATCCCGACTATGTTCATCGTGTCTTCGTCTGCAGAGACGTAGTTGTCTTTCCCGAGTAAGGGAAGGATCAAATTCAATCGTCCAGTTTTTCGAACGGTTTCCAAGGATATCGCTACTGCAGACGATCCGGTATCAACGAGGGCATTGAACGGCTTTCCCCATACCTCTCAATCACACTCCGCACTTTTCCATATAACAGATCGAACTCGAACGAAGTAATCTTTCTCTACATACGAAATGGTGGCGACTCGAGCAGTCTCGAGCGCGTCGGGCATGGTTAAGGTGGGTATCGGTTCCGATAGAGGAGAGTCTACTTCTGCCTCGTCGTCCTTCTTCTTCTCCAGCATCTTTTGAATGCGTTGGTACGTAAAGCACTTCTGATTTTTCTGGCACTGTTGAAGAAGTTTGTCATTCGCTGCTTCTGATATGGTCAGCAGATGGCCCACTGGGACAGGGACTCGATTTCCAAGTGTTTGAGTGTCTGAAGAACGTCGATCTCTCCTGTTCGAAACTGAGGACCGAGTTCTGATCCTCGTTCCACCCATTCAAGTTCGTCTTTGCCAGGTCGGATCGCTCCGATTAGTCCCACTAGTTGGAGGTACTCTGTCGGATCAACAACATCGGCCGCCTCGGAAGATGATCCCGAAGTGGATGCGATGGGTTCAGTCGATGGCTCTGTAAGGAGAAGGCCAGATTCCTTTTTCTTATGGCTTCTAACAGTGCAGCTACCCGTCCTTGATTCAAGGCGATAGGCGCGGCTGCCGGCGGGGGTTGGTTACGCCTTGGCTGGGGGCAGTTTCGTGTGAAGTGTCTGGGTTGCTTACCGTTGTAGCATTCAACCCTTCTTGCTTGATTGACCACCTGATTCAGAGTTGTAGGCGCCTGGCCGGGGGCAGGAGGAGCAGTCAGCATGGGGTACGAAGAAGGAGCGGGACGCGGAGAACTTGAGTTAGCCTTTATCAGTTTCGTCATGATTTGTTCAAATCGATCCATTTGAGAAGTTTGCATCTGTATTAGATTGTTCATCCACTCAGATTGTTTAGTTGTGGCGGTATGAATCATCTAGGCTAGATACAGGTTAGTGATAAGTAATGGCGCAGCCTGGGGCAAGACGGTGTTCACAGGCGCTATCTTGGGAGGGAGGGGAGGGGCAGAAGACAGGAGATGAGGGGAGGGATACGGCAAGTGTCCGTCGTGATAGTCGTGATCAGGGCGAGGGTAGAATCGCCCCACCGCTCTGAGCCACGAACGTCGTTTGGCGGCGACATCCTGTATCGTGTCGGAGATGTCTTTGTCCCCCTGACTGATGTATTTGCGGGTATCCATCAAGTCGAGTTCAAGTGCTTTAGCAATGATGACCGGTAGCTGGTTCGTTTTTGGGGGAACCTTTTTTTGCAGCTTTGCTTTCAACACTGGATTACGGAGATGATCGATGAACAAATCTCGAGCAAAGTTTTCTTCTCGCCCTGATTTGTCTAGGGGGTTTGAAACCGGTCCACTAAGTCGGGCAGCAACTCTCCGGATTCCTGCGGTCGAGTTTGCAACACAAACCATTCCTGCGGTCGAGTTTGCAACACAAACCATGCAGCATCCTCACTTACTTCGTCGAATCTTGCTAGGAACGCTCTCTTGAAGGTATCCCAATCTAACCACCTATGTCTTCTAAACCAATCATGAGCGGTGTTTCGGAGAAGCAAGGTGATGACACGAGGAAGATCCTCTTCGCCATATCCCTGAGCTTGCACGACTTCGAGCCATGCCTCAGGATGGGTATGATTGGGGTAAAATGGAAAGGTGGCGAGGATGCTAAAAATCACCCGAGGAGGCGCTCCATTAGCATCAGCCATGGGTATTTCTGGTTGAGTTTCGGTGGACCTTTGTCGGGTAACTGGAGGACTCTGCCGATTAGATCGGTTGGCTGGTCTTCCTCTCGCCAGCTCGTCTTACTAACGTCAAGACCGACACGTGTCCGCTCCGATACCAACCTCACGCCCTGCGCTGCTTGCCGGTCGGAGGGTTTTGAATTGCGGAAGGGGGCCCGGGGAAGGGCAGCAAAGATGGGGTGTGCCAAGAATTTTTGGAAAATTGAGTGCGGGGACATAGACAGAGCTGAAATCCCTGTGTTGGTCCGACTGTAGTAAGAAGAAGGTCCGTCGCCGCGCGGGTTTTAAGGGAGAAAAAGGCGCGCACGGGACTCGCAACTATGGGAAATTCAATCTAAAAAAAGTATTGCTGGACTTCCCAGCGAGCCGTCGCTCTTCGTTTCGTGTGAAAGGGTGTGGGTACACACCTAGTATCCCGTTTTCGGATGAGGTCTCGTCGGCACTCGTTACACAACTCCGAGTCCGACGTGGAGGGCCTCAATCGAGCAGCCTTTTCCTTGTGCTCGTTCTCGCCACGCGTGCGGTAGTGAAAACCCTTCGCCTGGTAACGCTCAACGTGGCAACAATCGCTGCACAGCGTGTTAGGCCAATGGGGCTCCACTGCCGTCCTCGGGACGACGATCAGTTCGTCGAATGGCAACAACAACGAATAGGGCGGAAAGTGCGTATCGATGATGAAAAAAAACGCACCGACGAATCCAGAACACCGAGTTTCGGGAGCCCTCCGATCTTGGCGACGGCTTCTCGTACGTCCCACTCGCATACACGTATCCTTTCCACGTTGTACAGGAAGGGGCGCGGCGGGGGCATGGGAAGTTGGCGCCCGGTCGGGTTGGGGCCGTCAGTCCACATGGCAGCAAAGGCAAGCTCAAAACAGATTTTAATCATACATCATTCGTTTGACACTCCAGGCAACCAGATCATCCAGCCGATCAGCCAATCGTCCTTACAATCATGCTATAACAAACTCTCTAACACGACTCACCGCATGCACATACCGAAGTGAGAGAAGCAAGGTTACCATAATTCACCAATTGCGATATAATGTGACCGGAGGAGAGAGAGAGAGAGAGTATGGACGCAGACCAGGAGGGAAGAACGAGTAGAAAGCAATCACAAAATGTCAGGCAATCTTGTCCAGGGAAGTTCTGGCTTAAAAGCCGAGCGATCAAAATTCACACTCGAAGATACAAAGTTTGGGACAAAAAAGGGAAGCACTTCTGCCATAAAATTCCACCATAGCCCTAGGCCATGCACTCACTCACTTCCGACTCGAACGTCTCACTTGCACTGACGATCCCAACCGTCACGTGCCAATCCACCATAGCGATCGTCAACCCGCCGACTTAGTCTCTACACGGCCCTGCTCGGATCCCACAGTTCGTCGGGCGATCCAGCATGACGAGCGCTAAAACTACAGCCAGCTCGTCGGGACTTTTCGACTCGCACCTTCCTTCATACCACCTAGCCACAGCTTCCCGGAAGCGGGCTGATGAGTCGAGAGAGAGATTTTCGGGAGCACTTGCGGAATTTATAGTTGTGGAAAAGAAGATAGACGCTAGGAAGGGTTAGGACTGAGACAGGGAGTAGGGAAAGGCTCAGGGATATTCGCCTGACGAAAGCCATGTAGCCAATCAGAATTGCCGTGTGTCAGGATTTTCCTTCTTACACGGCGCATCTCCTTGGCTACAGGGAGTGAAGAGGGGGGGGGGGGTGTCGACAGGGTATTTCAGCGCGGGGATTAGAGCGGGAAGAAGAAGAACGTGAAGAATAGCGTGAAACGGAACCAAGATTCAGACAATCAGGAAGGAGAGAAAAGGCGCGCAAGGTCGAAGGAGAGATGGAAAACGGTTACAGAGAGAGAAGCAGCGTGAGCGCGAAGAAGAGTGTCTAAGGCAGCGTGGGAAGCGGTGAGGGGAGGCTCGCATGCATGGCGCCGACGCGGAGGCAAAAGGGCACCAAAACAGTTACAGCTAATTCAAATTGAAAAGTACCATATCCGCGTGGTAGAGCGAGCGTGGGAGAAAATCCTATACGTATTCAGATTCCTACAAAAAATTCCACACAGTTCCAGCTCAAGTTTATCTTCGTCTCCCTTGGCACATCGACGGTGAAGTTTCGGGCCCTCCTTGATATTGGTGCCACCGGCAACTTCATCACCGAAGCCCGTGTCCACAAAGTCGGCCTCTCTTCCACCGGCTACGACTCCCCGATCACCATCTGACTAGGGGATAAGGACTCGACCATCGTTGTCGATCGCACTGTCCCCGAGACCCTCATGACTGTCGGTCCTCTTCGCAGTCAGGTCTCCTTCGATGTCATGCACCGCATGTGCGACATCGTCTTGGGGACTCTATGGCTTGACCGTTTCATGCCCTACTCTTTCCACCCCTCCTTCGTCCGACTCACCCGCCCCCCTCACTCTCCTCTTGACATCCCTTACCTTCTCCCCCCTTCTACCCCACCCCCTGTCTCCCCTCACCAGTTCCTTCACATATCTCGTGAACACACCGACTCCGCTTACTATTGTCTTGTTATCGACCACGAGCGTCCCGACGACTTGCTTCCAATGGACAAACCCGACCAAGACCCCCCTTTCGATCCTCACATCACCGCTCTCCTCTCTGAATTTAAGGGCGTCTTCCCCGAGTCCTTGCCCGTCGGTTTACCTCCCGATCGAGGTGTATCCCACACCATTGATCTCGAGCCCGACCATTCTCCTCCTTGCCGCCCTCCGTACCAACTCCGCGTCCCCGAGGCCGAAGAAATGAAGCGCCATCTCAATGCACTCCTTGAAAAAGGATTCATTAAGCCTAGCTCCTCCCCCTTCGGAACCACTTGTCTCTTCATCAAGAAGAACGACACCTCGGAACTCCGCATGTGCACAGACTACCATGCCTTAAATTGGATCACGATCAACAACAAGTACCCACTCCACCGAATATCTGAACTTCTTGATCGCCTCCATGGAGCCAAATATTTCATCAAGATCGACCTCCGCAGTGGCTTCCACCAAATCCGTATCCGCGAGGAGGATACCCACAAGGCCGCATTCTGCTCTCGGTTCGGGCACTACGAGTTCCTCGTAATGCCTTTCGGACTCACCAATGCCCCCGCCACATTCCAGTCCACCATGAACCACATCTTTCATGACCTCCTCGAAGTCTGTGTCGTGTACCTTGATGGCATCCTCATCTTTAGCCCCACCTTCGAGTCTCACCTTCAGCACATCGCCAAGTCCTCTCGATCCTCCGAGAGTAAAAATTTTACACCAAGCTCACTAAATGTACGTTTGCTGCTTCGAGCGTCGAATACCTTGGGCACATTGTCTCCACTGAAGGCATCCGTATTTAAGGTCACAACCCTCGTCGAGTACCCCCCGCCCAAGACCCTCCTCCAACTCCGTTCCTTCCTCGGCCTTGCCAACGATTACCGCCCGTTCATTCGCAACTTTTTCGAGATCTCTTGCCCTCTCCACAAACTCACACGCAAGGACAATTGGAACAAGCTGCCAACACGCTTTCGACTTCCTCAAGCAAACCATCACCACGGCCCCTGTCCTCAAGATCGTCGACCCCACTCGACATTTCTATGTCACCACTGATGCCTCCGACTTCGCCATTGGAGCCGTACTGTCCCAACATTTCCCCCGCGACACCGCCGAGACACCCTCCATCAAGGACTCGCCCACTCACCCCGAGGCTCCACCTGGCGAATACCCCATCGCCTTCGCAAGCAAGAAGCTCCTTCCCGCGGAGATGAATTAACCCTCCAACGAGAAGGAACTCCTCGTCGTGATTCACGCCCTAACAGTTTGGCGCCCGTACCTCGACGGGCAATACTTCACCATCCGCACTGACAACACTATCGTTTCTTCCATCCTCACCAAGAAAGACATCACCCCACGCCAAGCTCGATGGTTCGACTTCCTTGCCCAGTTCACATTCACCATTTGCCATACCCCCAACAAAAGCAACCGCGTTGCTGATGCCCTCTCTCGTCGACCCGACCACAAGCCCCCCGAGAAAGCCTACGCCGCCATGACCCATATCCAACCCCTCCCATCACTCCATCACCGATACACCCAAGGCTACCTTTCTTGCCCAGACTTCGCCGCCATTTAGAACAAGCTCTGCGATCTTGATCCAGTCCCCGACTACTCCCTACACGACAACCTCCTCTACATCGACACCAAAGGCACTCGCTGACTGTGGATCCCTGACACACGTGGTCTCCGTACCCAACTCTTGGCCGAGCACCACAACGCCAAGACCACAGGTCACCTCGGTTTCCAGAAAACCTTCGACACCATCTCCCGCTACTTCTATTGGTCGTCTCTACTCGCCGATGCCAAAACATACATTTGCTCATGTCCCACGTGTCAGGCTGTCAATCCCTCGAACCAGGCCAAAACCGGCAAGCTCCAATCATTGCCCATCCCCACTCACCGGTGGCAGTCCATTTCCATGGACTTTGTGTGCGGCCTCCCTAAGACCGACCGTGGGCATGATTGCATCTACGTCATTGTCTGCTGCCTGACCGAACGCGCCCACTTCATCCCTTGCACCACCTCGCACACCGCCAAAGACATCGCCTTACTCTTCTTCAACCATGTTCCACGCCAACACGCCCTCCCCGAGAATATCATCAGCGACCGCGATCCCTGTTTCCTCTCACGGTTCTGGAAACAGCTCTTCAATGCCTACGGAACTAGACTCAAGTGTAGCACTGCATTCCAAGCACAGACCGATGGACAAACCGAGAAGATGAACGATACTCTCCAAAGAATCCTACAAAAGTACTGTCATCCACGTCAACACGATTGGGATCAGTTGCTCACCGCCGTCGAGATCACCTACAACAACAGTACCTGTCCTTCCACTGGCATGTCTCCATTCTACCTTGACCTTGGCTACCATCCGCGCTCGCTCTCCGATTTCCTGCTTCCCTCGCAACTCAACCCCTCCACACCCTGCCCTTCCCTCAATGAATGGGTAGCAACAATGAATCGACTCCTCAGGGAAGCAACCGACGCCCTCGAAAGAACACAAGAACAACAAGCAAACAAGATTAACAAACACAGACGAGACTTGCATTTCAAAGTAGGGGACAAAGTCTGGCTCTCCGCCAAACACTTTGAGCTCGAACATGGATTGTCAAAGTAACTCTCGAACAAATGGCTCGGAGCCTTCCCCATCATTGAAAAAACCTCCGACGTCAACTACAAACTCCAACTCCCCACCCACATGAGCCGCGTCCACCCGGTCTTCCACGTCGAATACTTGAAAGAATGTCATGAATCCCCACCCCAATTCGCTGACCGCCCATATCCTAGACCTCCACCTATCATGTTACCCACATGCCCTGAATTCCTTGTTGAAGCGATCATAGGTCGACGAACTACTCAGGTATCACCCGGAACCAATCACTGAATAAAAAGTCAAATGGACCGGATACCCCGACGAAGAATCTACATGGGAACCTTTCTCGAATCTCAAGAATGCCATGAAACTTGTCAGCGCCTATGATCGTGCTACTCCTATCTCCTAAACACCCGCGTAACTACAACCCTAAACCCCTGTATAAAACCTTGCTACAACCTCGCAACCCCGTTCCACACACACCCTTGAACCCAGTCCACCCTCCCCTCGACCCCGATTTCTGATGTCTGATCTGCCCTTGCCCTCGCCTAGCCTTGTCCCATCTGTCCTCTCCACTACCTTGTCTCTCTCGTCCAATGCTTATGAACCTGCGTGACGCCGACGATAAAGGATCTAATGGCAAGCGCACGAGGACGATGGCCTGCTGCCTCACTGTTCATGGAGATTATGCAGCTGGTTTGGCCACCATGCTGTTTCATCGGCAGGCATCCCAACTCGCGGACTTACTGGAGCAGCATGGATCTTTGCATCAGTCTGCGACTTCCTTGCTTCCAGATCAGACCTCATTGCAGTTCGTGTACCGGATGCACCCTAGCACTTGGACTTTGGACATTTGAACTACTGTTACGCTTCTTGGACTTCTACCTGTCGCAGCCGCTGAAGACCGCTCCTACCACCTACTCCAAGACCTGATCAAGACCGCTGCAGAACCCCTTTCAAGACACTTGGACACTTTGTTCCTACACAAGATTCTGTTTCCGACTCCTTCGGACACACCAGCCCTTGCCTCCTGAACAAACATTTTCATTTTTTATTTTATTTTTTTTCCTGACTTTGACAACCCTGTAGAACATCATTAGCAGATCCCTGTTTCCCTGACCATTGTTTCCCTTACCCACTAGAACATCAATAGAAATTCCCTGTTCCCCTGACCATTGTTTCCCTTACCCACTAGAACATCAATAGAAATTCCCTGTTTTCCTGAACATCGTTTCCCCTACCCAGTAGAACATCAATAGAAATCCCCTGTTCCCTGAACATTGCTTAGCTTCCCCTATAGACCCACCCAGTTACATCATACCTTCACCTGTGCAGAACACCAGACAGAATACCCTGTGACTTGCATCACTCCCCTTCTCCATATCCAACCAGTGATCAGCCCCGTCCCGTCCTTCGCAGCTCCTTTTGTTTCATTGGCTTTTTGGCAGCCGGGACGTTGCCTTTCAGAGGGAGGGGATAGTGTTACGGACTCCGCCAGGGCTCGATCCCTGGTCTATCTTTTTGCTGTTTCTGCTGCATCCCGTTTTCGGCCTGGCACCCTTTTTCCCAGACCCCTCCTTTGGTACCGTCAGATTTTGGACAACTGGCGCCATGCTGCAATTCGGGCGCTACTTTCAAATACCGCATTTTTCAGTTCTGCCCTCGGGGCTTTTGCAGAAATGCCCCTGGTACCGTACGTGTCACCATACTTATACCGGCTCCCCGTACAGTACGGGGACCATTCCGGTACCAGTTTTCTGCTGCTGTACTCGTACTCAGTGTGACTTGCTGTTTCGGCATTCGGAATCCAAGACTTCGACTTTGTGCCCTTGCCACCATGTCTGCATCCAACCCTCAGTCGTGTCGAGTGAGTGGGTGTGTGTGTGTGCTCTCACTCTCTCCCTCTCTCTCTCCTCTCCCTCGGCTCTCCCTCAGCCTCGCGCTCGTCACACCGCCCCTCGAACCCCGCCCCC